GATTATTTATAATACTGATGATAATGATAATGTTGATAGTATTAATCATAATAATCATGATATCTGCAACCATAGTAAAAATAATAATGATAGACAATATGAAATAATGATAAGAATAACAATGAAAACAATGATAACAAAAATAATAGTGATGATAACTATAACAAGTGATAATGACAATAATAATAATAACCACAATAAAATGATGATAACAATAACAACAAGGACAACAACATCAATAACAACAAAGATAATAACCCTTATCCCTATCACCCATTACACTAGCCATTATAAGAGCAACACCAACAACAGCAATAATCATAATGGCAGTAATATCAGCAATAACAAAGACAGGACAGATGGAGCTTATGAACAGAAATTTGCCTTCATCAAAGCAGTCTTAATAGGCCTTGGATTCCATAAGCCTCCCGGTGGTTCAGCCTCCCAAGTTCAGCCGTTGATGTCGTCCTCGAACTAATAATTCTACCTTGATGCATTAATTCAGTGGCGGTACTACGGCATGTGTGATTGAGTTTGCAGGGACACAGGAAGGCACTTACATACAGGCAATTATGTGACATAGTACACCCTTGTGTTGTGTGTGTGATGTGTGTGTGTGTGTGTGTGTGTGTGTGTGTGTGTGTGTGTGTGTGTGTGTGTGTGTAGACTGGTAGATAGATAGACAGAACCGATGAATGTACATATAAATTGATACTTAAATAATGATATATATGTATATATGTATGTATATAACACACACACACACACACACACACACATACATACGGGTAGAGAGATAGAAAAAGAGATAGATAGAGATATAGGTAGACAGATTGATAAATAAATAGATAGACTGACTGAGAAATAGATAGACTATATATGGTAATGTATGTATGCAATAGTTACAACTACAAGTGCCTACTCGCATCCACTCTGTGGGGTAACTCAAACTTTCTCTACAAGGGGTTTCCATTTTAATTTCAAACACAGTGCTAAAAATCCGGAAACTTCCCTCAAAATACCTATCCATAAATTACTTGTCTACGCACATACACACATACAGACACAATTATAAACTCCCTTCAAAATCTCTACCCATAAATTACTCATCTACGCACACACACACATACAGACACACATACGCCAACGCTTATACACAAAATTATACCAACACGCACGCAGTTTCTTAAATACATATATTCACACGCCCTATTAACATTTTTCAAAATCTTATATGTAAACCATATATATATATATATATATATATATATATATATATATATATATATATAATATATATATATATATAATATATATATATATGCTCCTTCTGACGAGTTTTTTGTACATTCGTTCTCTTCTGCAAACAACCTTTCACATTCTAGTACTTAGAAACCTTAAATATTTACCCTCTATTTCTATACAAGTTACTCTAACTCTTAATTTCTATCTTACTCTCCCAAAGCTTTCAGATGTTTACCCCCCTTTGCTTCTTAATCTACCTTAGAGATCCTGACGACGAAATAAGTATTTTCTGAGTTCGCCTAAAGAAAAGTTTTCATTTTTCCGGGTCAAGTAGATGGGAAGGTGAGGTGCGGTGTAAAGACTCCCTTATTTTATGTAATATTTTTATTGTATTTTCCTTATTTTATTTTATTTTATTTATTGTATTTTCCTTATTTTATTTTATTTTATTTATTGTATTTTCCTTATTTTATTTTATTTTATTTATTGTATTTTCCTTATTTTTGCACGGCCTAATGTTTGATTAGAATGATGTGGCTGTTTTGGTTGTGTTTGTGTGTGTGTGTGTTGTTGCTTGTTATGTGTGTTATTCGTTTATTTGTGTATTTGTTTGGTTGTTTTGTGTGTTTGTTTTGTGTGGTTTAGTTGTTGTTTGTTTGTGTGTGTTTAGTTGTTTGTTTGTTTGTTATTGTGTGTTTAATGTTTGTTGAGTGTGTGTTTTTTGTTTGTTTGTGTGTGTGGTAGTGTTGTTTTCTTGTGTGCTTATTGTGTATTGTGTATTGTTTGTTGTGTGTTTGTTTTTGTTTATGTGTATTTGTTTGGTTATTTGTTTATTTGTGTATGATTGGTTATTTTGTGCGTGTTTGGTTATTTACTTATGTATATATTTGTTTGTTTGTTTTTTGTTTGTGCGTGTCTGTATTTGTTTGTGTGTGTGCGTGTATTTGTTTGTTTGTGTGTGTATTTATTTGCTTGTTTGTGTTTGAGTGTTCCTGAGCTTACTCCTTCAACCATACTCTCTTCCAACTCCAGTGGTTATTTTCTCATTCTCTTATTCTCTTATTCGCCCAAAATATTTCGACTTTCCTCTTCCTCGAAACCCCATTGGCTTCCCCTCGAAATGGCTTCGCTTGTCATCATTCCCCTTGTCTCTATCTCCCATTATCGTCACTTCTCTTCCTTTTCCCCTATTCGCCCTCCGAGTCCTTGTCACTTTGCTCTCTCCTTATCAACGGTTTCTTCCCCCTGTTCCTTC